AACTCAAAATCCACAAGTGGATATGTCTTTACACTAGGAGGAGCAGCAATATCATGGAAATCTACCAAACAAACAGTTCTAGCCAGATCCACCATGGAATCTGAGTTCATAGCCTTAGACAAAGCTGCAGAAGAAGCTGAATGGCTTAGAAATTTTTTGGAAGATATTCCTATGTGGGAGAAACCTGTGCCAGCTATACACATACATTGTGATAGTCAATCTGCTATAGCTCGGGCTCAGAATAATCTCTACAATGGTAAATCTAGTCACATCAGAAGACGACATAAAACCATTAGACAACTTATCTCAACTGGTGTAATCACAATATACTACATCAAATCAGCTGACAACCTAGCGGATCCATGTACTAAAGGTTTGCCACGAGATAATGTTGCTAAATCATCAAAAGGAATGGGTTTAAAGCCTATTACAAAAGAAGATGTTTGATTGCAACCCTACTTATCATGACTGGAGATCCCAAGACGTAGGTTCAAAGGGAAAACAAAATCAAACAAAATCTAACCAAAGCACTTGAGAAAAAGTAGTCAATTCCCAGCTCCTAAGATGATAAATGTGCTACGAAATGTAAGGATAAGCATTAGCTTTTAATGATTCCATAGCTTCTAAAGCGAAGTATTACTCAATACTTTTCATGGTCAATCACCTAATGAGTGTGAAATGAGGCCGTTTCTAGGAGAATGAATGCAAGGCTATATTCTCTAAGTTCACTCATGAAAACCATGAATAGTTCAGGGCCACAATGAACACAATAGAGAACTAAGTTCTACGAGAAAATGAAACTGCGTTATGCCTGTTGTCTCGGTCTACATAAAACACCGGTTGGTTCAAGACAACATGTTCACCTTCTGGTAAAGTAAATCCGACAGATATTAACTATGTGTGGTTCAAGGCTTAAAAATGCCACCAACTCAAACACAATGAATTTTTTGCAAACACTCTCGATAAGTCTGTCTAGTCTACTCAGAATTAGAATAACTATTTTTTTAAAGTCTATCGAGTCTGCATATAGTCTGCATATGTTTAGAGTCATTTCTATTCATGTGGGGGATTGTTGGATAAATTAATCAAGCCATTTGGGCTTCATATCTAATTGGAAAATTGTGAAAAGAAATAACCCATTCAAGAGGCCTGTTTGTATAATGAAATGAGTAAGTGGTTTCTCCCACCTCGACTATGATGGGAAAAACTGAGCAATATATATATGTACTCAGGATATGAGTTTGTAAACAGCTCAGTGAGAGAGGAGGTGCTCCACGCGCGCGCCGCCGCCGTCCGGCCGGCCGGCTCGGCTCGACTTGGGCTTGGGCTTGGGCTTGGGCTTGGGCTTGGGCTTGGGCTTGGGCTTGGGCTTGGGCTTGGGCTTGGGCTTGGGCTTGGGCTTGGGCTTGGGCTTTATTGGAAGGTCTTTGGCCCGATAAGAAGTTATCTTTTTGGGCCAAATGAAGCTCATCGCTTTGCCATTTAAACTTCNGGGCTTGGGCTTGGGCTTGGGCTTGGGCTTGGGCTTGGGCTTGGGCTTGGGCTTGGGCTTGGGCTTGGGCTTTATTGGAAGGTCTTTGGCCCGATAAGAAGTTATCTTTTTGGGCCAAATGAAGCTCATCGCTTTGCCATTTAAACTTCGGGCTTTATTGGAGGGTATTTGGCCCGATAAGAAGTTATCTTTTTGGGCCAAATGAAGCTCATCGCTTTGCCATTTAAACTTCAAAAAACAGCATGCAATTTTATTTAAAATGACAAGTAGTTTGTCTAACAAATAAAAAAACGTCACGCAGTTTATTCTCTCAGATATTTAAACGAGAAAAGAGAGAGTCTTGCGGAAAAAGATTTCGCTACTCAACTTCCCTCGATCTCAGCGAGATTCTCGCCCACGTGCAGCAGTTGTTGCGGGAAGTGGCTCTCGTCTTTCTCTTTAAATAAACTCGTTTCTCTTCTTCATTCCTTAATCATTTTTCACACAGAAAAAAATCCACCAATCTCTCAGCGTAAGTTTTCAGAGAGTGTTCATAGAATTTAGTTCGTTAGGTCGTTTCACGAGTGACGCGTGATTCGTCTGCCATGGTTGTATCCTGGGACTCGATATTCGTACAGTTTCGTCTCACTACGGAGCGAATTTTAAGATTTAAGGAAAGAGATTTATCTCGTCTCCGTGTCTTATATAATCATTTATTTCCTTAACTCAGTCTTTCTTATATCGTTTAAGTCGATCCGGTTTTCCGGCTTCTACAGTTACTAGTATATAGGAGAATATACCTTGTTAGTTATCTCTAAGATCTCGTATGATCCTCTTGTACGTGTATATATTGCTCCTTTACCTATCAACTAGAATTTTTACCCGCACATTCGTGCGGGTATATTTTCATTTTTACAAATTTATTTGATATTAATGTAAATATTTTAAATATATAATTTATATTTTTATGTTATATATTGTATAAATTTATAATCTAATTGGTGTAGGTTTTTATTCAACATTATTAATATATAATATTCTTGTGTTTTTTACTTTGAAATTTATAAAATAGTATAGGATTCTTTTGTTGTTATTATAGTGAAATCTACTCTATTAAATTTATTTAATATTAATGTAAATATTTTAAATATATAATTTATATTTTTATTTTATATATTGTGTAAATTTATAATCTAATTGGTGTAAGTTTTTATTCAACATTATTAATATATAATATTCTTTAATTTTTTACTTTGAAATTTATAAAATAGTATAGGATTCTTTTTTTTGTTATTATAGTGAAATTTTAATTAATATTAATGTATCATAGTATAATATTATTAATTACGAAATTCATTATTATGTTATTTAATAATAAAATATTAAAAAAATTTATTAAGATTTTGTTAGATTTTCTCTCAACCGATTCTGTTATAACTAAAAAAAATGTAAATCTATTATTTTCAGCATATATGATATATATTTGATTGATTAACTTAAATAATTTAATATGTCATATTAATTAATTAATTAAATGGTCCTATATGACTTCTTTGTAGTAGATAAAAATAGTGACTCTATTTTAATAGAGTAGATAACATCATAACATTCAGCACATCTCTCTACAATCACAAGTCAAATTTCTTTGGGCAAGTAATTTTTACTAGTGCAAAGAGATTTAAGTTAATTTCAGAACCAACAATTTCTTTGAATGCCATGGTACTTACAATGATCATCAAACATCCTATCAATATTCAACTCATGCATTGAAGATTTCGGTTTGTTTTATTTCGAGTAAGTGGATGCCATGAAGAAGATTAAAGGTAAGCGAAGTGAAGAAAAAACTGGCAGGAGATCCATGTTATATTGACTGTATCAAAACTGGTATAACATTACGAATCCAAGAGCACTTTCTAGTTTTCTCTGTATGTTATATTCAACTCTGTTATGCTCTTCAATCCAAGATTCAAACTAAATAGTATGGAATGTACAAGAACAACAAATCACAAAGAAGCTTTTAGCTTCACTTGGATACAATCATACAAGGAAAGTAAGACTATCAAGCAACAATGTAAATAAAATCAGTATTGTAGATCTTGACATTTTATATATATATATATATATATATAGCTCATTTCGTTTCATAATCTTTAGAGCTTTTTTCAGATGGTAGCTCTCTTGGTATTGCTTTCTTCAAAATATCCAAGAGACTTTAAAGGACGAGCACACCTATAATGGATGTTACCAGCAGAACAATGGATCCTTCACTCTTCTTCGTCTCTTGACATGAAGAAGATAAAAAAAGACCCGGATTTCCGCTCACGCTTGTCAATACAACAGTAAAAGCAAGAATCCAATAAGAAAACCATACATATGATCAATCTTTTCTTATTAACATGTGTCCAAAAATCTTTATGTTAGTGCACACCTTAGCTTGAGTGATCCGGTGCTTGATCTCTCCAGTAGTTTCGGTGGAAGCAAGCCCGTTAATTGGTTTCCTTCCAAGTTTCTGCAGAAATACACACAGAAGTCATATGAGTATCACTTGCTGTATACACCTATGAGTATAAATGAAATACATGGTCGAGATGGCATGACTTACAACTCAGTTAAACTCGGTAAATAGGCAAAACAATCAAGTACATTTCCTTTTAAACTGTTGTTTGACAAATCCCTGCAGAAAAGATTTGTTAAAAATTCTGGACAGCCTGATGTGTTTGTAGCAGCATATAATGAAATACTGACAATTTCTGAATTGATGTAAGGTTGCAGAAGGCTGGATCAATCAGACCAGACAACCCGCTGGAGGATAAGTTCCTGCAACGCACCAATATTTTCTTATAAACATATGTAACAAGATTGAAAGTACAGAACATAGATAAGCTTAGCAAGATTCTCACAGAGAAGCGATTCTCGGAGGATTCTCACAGTTAAGACCTTCCCACGAATAATCTCTAGGAACACATGGATCTCCTTGCCAATCCTTCTTGACTCTGTACATGGCCTTAATCTTCATAATGGCCTCCACTAAGGCACATGAAAGAAAAAGAAAAAACCTTAATCATCTTTAGCTAAGTAGATTGTATAAGAAACAAATGTCTCACATCTAGTATATAAGATAGTCGATTGGCTTTATGTTGGAAGTTGATGATAAATCCGTATTGCATTTAATGATTTAACAGATTGTTCAGTTTTTCAAAAAAAAAAAAAAAGAGATAATGTTTATTTTTTACCATCTAATTGATGTGTAGGTGATTGTAGAGACTCATTGACTTGATAGACCTCAATGGCATTGATGATCGGTTGTAGTGTTGATCTATTAGTTGGTCTAATAGAAATCTCGATTCTTGATCCGTTAACCGGGTTCTTGTTGGAAATTGTATCTGTAAACAAGAAGCGAGGGCTAAACACAGTAGGTTCCATTGGCTCATTATTCACTAATATAGTGAACTCTCTTGTATCATTTCTCTGCAGCTTAACAATTTCAGCAAAATGCATGTATATATAAAACTTCCCCTTAGGATCTTTTGGTTCAAGCAACATATTGATATACTGGATGGCCTTTCTTGGTGCATTAGCGGTTCTCATGACAATAAGAGGTGGTTGCAAGTTATTGTTGCCACTCTGGTCTATTGCTAGAGAGGTATTCAAGGTAGTGAAATTTTCAAATTGACGCGGTGTCCATAAGCGGTCATAAGCATCATCTTTGTACCTAAAACAAAACATTATTAGCTAAAGATTTTAAACAAGTGAAACAAAAAGAGAGATCTCAAAGATAATTAACCTGACAGAAATATTGCTGATTGAGCCCACATCACGTCTTGCAATTAACGTAAGTTTATCATGAGGAGTCTCATACATGTCGTTCTTTAGAAGCCTGAGCTCTAAGACAGACATAAATGGTGTTCCTCTGCCTTTATCAACAAGACACACCTGAACATGGTCTGAACCAAGAGTGTGGATGATCTCTTTGGTAATTATAGTAGTTTCATTGTCTAGAATCACAGAATCCCATAAATTGACCCCTAGATACAGATCGAACTCAGGTGTTTTGTGCTGACCATCGTAGTTTCCATACATGAAACGGGTTCTGATCAAATGCTTGGAACCTTTACCTTGCTGGGGTTGAACATGGTAACAGTTTCGCTTTCCTTGAGGAAAACTCCTCAAGTTGTTGAACTGGCTCTGAAGAGAACTAGTTTGAAACTCTGTATCTATGCTATGGCTTGTCCCGGTTTCGACAAAACCAACATCTGAGATATAATTTATGTCTGTAATTTCATCAGTGTATCTTGAACCATCTGGTAGTCCGCAATCAATACTGAAAAACCCTGTCAAAGAAACAGACACACACATACAGATAGATACTTAGCCTCACAATCACATCCACTCAAAGTCAATACAAAAAGGGAAGGCCATTAATTAGTTAGTTACCTGATTGGTCGTGGGCTTCAAGAAGAACAATAAAGCTTACGAATGTAACCAACAGAAGATAGTTGTAAAGAGCCATTAATTTCTCATACTTCAAAAAAGTCTCTTATGTATTATTATACAAAAGCTATGTATTATACAAAAGCTTAGAGAAGATCTAAACAATATTGACACGTTAAGCATTAAACTCTTTCTTCTATTAGACTATTCCACATCCATGTTGTCTGATATTCAAATCCCATCCGAAAAATTTCTTCCCCTAAATATTTTGTCAATGCCATGTTGTCTGATATTTAAATCCCATCTGAAATTTATTCCCCTAAATATTTTGTCAATGACTAGGCATTTTCATACCAGTTAAACTAACTAATGGTCAAATGTCAGAGAATTGTTGTTTCGATTAGTCTTAGCTATAGAAGCAATGACTATTTCAATGGCTTTCTGGTTAGCATGAGAAAATTGGGTTCCAAAGATGTGAAGCATATTACATCTTTTGAGATAGAGACAATGATGAAGTAAAACATATTTATCATAACTTCATAAACCTCCTTGCAAACTATATATTCAAACATCAATCTGTCATTTGATGCAAAACCATAATAGTATAAGACCTATTTTAAGTAAATCCAGGTCAGTGACACTGAAACTATCATAACTTCATAAACCTACTTGCAAACTATATATTCAAACATCAATCTGTCATATGATGCAAAACCATAATAGTATAAGACCTATTTTAAGTAAATCCAGGTCAGTGGCACTGAAACTCTCCTCTTGACATTTTGAACTAATAACCAGGCCCGGTCCGGGGCATAGGCAAAGGAACCGACCGTTTAGGACATCCCAATTTTGTACAACAATTTTATATGTATATGGGATATTATAAAAAAAAAATCATGAAGAATAGGGGCATAAATTTATAGTTTATAATAAGACATTACAAGTTTTTTTTTTAAATTGGACCGGCCCTGCTAATAACATTTTGATTGAATACATAAACTATCCTCTTTTATTATTTACTCTGGAACAATATACATTACAAAATGTATATACAGAGCTGACTAGAAAGAAATGAGAAAAGCAGCACCTCACATCCCTGACAACAAGTTACTGATTTTCCGAAGCTCCCTAAGTGCTGTTGTAGCTGTGTCTTGTCCCTTTTCAATCAACTCTGTTTTAGCTATGTTCTTTATCAATCCTCCCTGAACCAGACCAGGTTCTTGTTGGAAAATCAACTCGATTACCTGAAAATAAAATCATCAGAAACAATCCTATACTTGTTACTGGCACCTTCGAAACACCTTATGTGAATAACTTTTACCAATTAGATACACCAACTTTTCTGTTGAAACACACGAATGATGTAAGGACTGAGAAGTTACCTGAATGTGTTCGAGCATGGACTGACCAAGGGTCTTCCGAGTCTTCATCAGATTTGAATCTAAGTCACCAGTTTTGTGAGAAGATAAAGCTTGGGGATGGGACTCTGTAGCGTTTCTCTTAGAAGTCTCTTCACCAGAAAAATTACGTTTACACTTCAAAAACCACTGTACTATTCCAGTTACAAGCTTGTGCTCCTTAGTAATAATGCTCACAGATTTATCTGTGGAATCGTCTTCATTACATTGAGTTTCTGGATAGTCATTTCTTGAATGTGGAGATATAGGAAGAGGTGAATCTACACATGTTTGTTGACCTGTACATTTCTCTTCAGAAACCGAATCTGAACTAGTACTACAATCTCTGGAAGCAGGACTGGTTGGTTCTGAGGAGACAGATGAGTCCTCTGCACTGAGTAAATCATCTATGCTATTACTATTTTCATCAGGACACAAAGTTAAGACAGTACTGCTATTTGAATCGTTTTCAGGGTAGTTTGAATCTCTGACAAGACTGGTTGGGTCTGAATAGAAAGATGAACTCTCCTCATCACTTGTTATACTATCTTCATCTGCAGTGTGAAAATCCATACTGCCTTCCTCAGTTTCTTGAGTAGGACTGTTCTCCATGCTTACAGTTACCGGACAACCATTAGCTTCTCCTTCAGGGTTAGAACTGAGCTTCTGAGACAGAGATTCAAGAACACTTCGTGTCTTATAACGTGATAGATCAGTCACTGCTCTGAAAAGATTAGTCACCTTCAACCACTTCTTTTTCTTCTGTGTAGGAGGACTCATTTGCTTTTCTTCTTCTTCTTCGGATTTTTGTAATAGCCTCCATTTCTTCTCCCAGTAGCAATCAGGTGTGACAATCAAAGAAGAATTAGATGGAACACTTTTAGGAACAGAACTTCTCTGCTCGAAAACGCCATTACTTGACAGAACCAAAGCTTGTAACCACTTAGCCTTACATATAATCTTATTGAGGTCAATGTCCTCTGGAAAATTCAATAGTCTCTGTAGACAGCATGTTGCATTCTCAGTAGAAAGTAATGAAGATCTTAAATATAATATCATTGAAACAGCCATCCCAGAGATTAAGGTTCCACGAGGACAATCAAAGACACTGAACATGTGATTTCTACTATCCTCATCATCATCTGTAAACGTTCTTGCACTATTATCAGCTAAGAAGATCTCATCCCACAGTAACAAGAGATCCTGAAGCAGAAACTCTCTTCCAAACAATACCCTTAACCAACGCAGACCAAAGTACTGTGGTTCAACACCAAGTTCAACTAGATGGCTGTACAGAGATGCATCAACGACCGCCAAGAGACGATAAAACGCAGAACATGCTCCAAGAACTGGAGATAACCTGGTGTGGGATCCTTTGGCTGGAGAGTAACCAAAAAAGCTAGCCATGGAGACACAACCATTAGTCCCACTCATTAGTGCATCGAACATACAGTAAGCATCATGTTCCATGAATTTTTCAGACAAGACACTCCCAAGTTCACCTTCTGCCCCGTAAGAATCACTCAACATTACAATGGACTGGACTTCAGGGTCAAGCTCATCTAGGCTTTTTATTTTCTTTGAATATCCTTGGGAACTAAGCTCATCATCGTCCATAGAGTCTATGAACTTGTTGAAATCAAAGGTGTAACTGATATCTCTTTCCTTGAAAGATAAACTATCAAACATGTCGGTGAAATAATCATCATAGTCTTTACGCACTTGAGAAAGACGCATGATATCAACATGAAGTACATAAAGGAGTGGTGCCAAAAGCTCGTGCATTCCTGCAAAGAGTTATATGATACATAAGCAATTAAACTCTTGACATAAATCATGTTTCTACAGTTATTTTACTAATTAGGATAGATCATGATTGCTTTAGTGAATAGATTTTTAAATGAAAATGATGAAACATACCAAGATACTGCAGGAGACCTATTGGGTTCAAAACACTTACTAAATATATTTTTAATCATTTGGAGGCGAAATAATATAATACGAATAAACCACTAATATTTTAAGGTGGGTTTCATCTCGCTATGTACAAGACCAATTCTGACAGCGGCTCACAGTAACGAGACATGTACCTTGCCCATAGCCATACTCGGGATGCTTAAGGCACCACAGCAATAGAATGCGTCTTAGCATGCCTTGGCATCCAGGTGCTTGAAAATAACACCAATGCTCTGGATATAACCTTGATAAGTCTTGGTCAACTGTTTTTTCCAGCTCCGCGTTACGGAAGAATTGACCCCATGCGCTATCTGCAATATTTATAGCAATGAATTGATTTTATTTGTAACATGATTTACTACACTAAAGAACACATATGCTTCGCATGATATTTTTTGTGCAACACCAAAAAATATTTGATACATAAATTTAACGTAGTTAACCAATTTAGCTATATCCAAATAAATAGATATTGACCGTTATATTAGAATTATAAGATCACCGAATATTATTTTGATTTAAAAAAAAAATCCTAACACTAATGAGTTTGAGGGTTTATTATTCCCAGTAAATGTACTTAAACCAAAAATCGAGATCCTTCGAATGATGTAGTGGGAAAAAGGCAGTTCGACATGATCTGCATAATTGTTATGATATGTCCCGTTGGAACTGTATTTTTTTATGATTCGAAGCCTAGATTCAAAACATATCAACAAATGAGATGCTTGTGAGCCAAGGAAACACAAGCTTTAATATACCTGGGTTTTGGGACAATGGGTTGTCGATGAAAAGATTAAGGGAATCTCTATCATCTTTGAGTAAATGTGGATCCATCAAAAGTCGTCTCCTGAGAAGAGCATATCTACATTATAAAAACATATATTATTATGATCGTTAATAATCCTTCCTCTGGAATAAAATGTGCTTATTTCTCAAAGATATATGAGAATTAATTCTCAAAAAAAAAAAGAGAATTAGGGTTTGTGAGCAAATTATCTACCGTCGGCGAGAATCGGCTGTTGCTCTACGAAGTTCATCGACTGAAGAAGCCGATGACGGAAGAACTCCGAGATTCACGCGCCACCGAACGCTCCTGAGATTGGCGAAATGATTATCTGACTCAGTTGCTCTACTCATAACCAAAGTTCCCGATGATTCAGGCTCGATCTCCGACGTTGCCATGGAGCTTAATCTATCAATTCCCTGGGCGAAACAAGTCTCCGACAAGCTGAAGAAACTCTCGTCACAGAAACAATCTGCACACAGCTAGTATATGATGATGATTCTGAAAGGTAGTCTACTAAATACGGAAAAAATTTTTGGGGTAAGTAAATATATAATTTTTAATTGCTACAGTATTTGGACACAAAAGTTGTTGAACCTAAAAATAGGTAATACTTATTAATTAAGTTTCCGTCAAAGTTAAACTACACTAAACTAAAAATTAATCTTACGAAAATCAAACTAATCTTTAATCTGTAATAAATTATTTATTTTCTCTTCACCTTTTAAATATTAGAAAATACAATAAAAAAAACTATTTTGAAATAAATTTTTTAAAATTAACTATTTGATTTGGAAATATCTCTTACAAAGTTTTTATATATTTCATAAAATATAGTCAGACAGGACGTAAATTATTAAACATCTCCTAAATAACTCATTTTTGTTGAGAAATGATGGTTGGGACATATCCGGAAATGGACCAGACCACATCAGTCTCACTTCAGTCCAAGACCAGGCGACAAGCACCTTATCCTTATCCATACCAGGCGGCCAAGACTTGTCATTATCCTCCCTTGTATTTATCCATATGTTGTAGTTATCCTAATCATTATAGGATTAGGATAATCATCCCCTT